CCCCAAAACCCCAAAACCCCAAAACCCCAAAACCCCAAAACCCCAAAACCCCAAAAACCCCAAAACCCCAAAACCCCAAAACCCCAGCATTTGCTAGATGATTGAGTGTTATTCCTCATTTCTTAAGTGCTCGAATACCTGCTTTAAATGGCTGCGGTAGAGTTCCATTTCCATATGATTAAAGCATCCATTATGGCCGCATCTGATTGGGAAGAACATTCCAATGTTTTCATCGTTAACTTTGGAGATATCGAGGAAACTGACTGACTCATCGTCTTCAAAAGTAGCCTTCGTGTTTCCTTTACTTACTAAAGAGTCATTTTCAGATTGAGGGTCATCGTCTCTTCCTCCAAGAAGATTTGCGCTTTCGTCATCTAGCTTTGACTGAATGTGTTTAGCCACTTTTACAAGGAAGTAGCATAACACTCCTGTCTTTTCAAGCAAGAGTTTTTGGATAGGGAAGTGCTGAGCTTTAGTTTCCTTAATCAACTGATTGAGTGCCTCTATAATATCTGTTATTTGGAATTCAGACATTCTCCTCGCATTCTATATTATCATTAGGGCTTAATGGGTTATATTACTTACTCTAATGTTGTATATCCCGTGATTTTCAAGCGGAAGGTTACAATAGCTTCCCCATATTTCAATGTTTAACAAGAACTGTTTGAACATTTTGTACTGATTTCTTTCTCTCTCTTGGAATATGTGGTGGAATGTAACACCACTGCTATCAACCTTGCATAGTAGCCTCTTGATTTTGTTCAATAAGGCCTCAATACTGGATGAGTCTTCAGGCATGTAATACTTGAACAGTCATTTCTCTAAGCTATTTTCTATGTTTTTATTAACCCTTTTGTTGGCAAGGTCAATTTCATCTTTTGCTTTTTCTCAATAATCTTTACTAAAATGCTCGAAAATTTCATTCTTCTTTGACCTTTCATAGCTCATATTTCCAGCAGTTTTATCAAGAAATGTTTCAGAGTATGCTGTAAAATTAGTACCAGAGTTGTCAAACAGGCCATTGTCATCATCAATTCCTTCATCTCCCAAATAATTCAGTTCAATAGAAGAATTTTTCTCTTCATCGTCCTTCTTGAGAGTTTCCTTGGTCTTAGACTTAGCCTTGTTGTATTCCTCATTTGCCTTATTTAAGATTCAGTGTGAATACTTCCTTCAGAATACTAAAGAAAGTGTCTGTCTCTTCCTTAGTCATAATTGTTCACACATCAAAGAAGAAACCTGGTTTAACGTTATGATTCTTCCTCAGCACTTGACTTAGAGAAACTCTGGCGACTCCGTTCTTGAGAGAGGCTAGGTCAGGAATCATTGTGTCCTGGGGATCTGCAGCAATTATTTTGTACTTATCGCTCATCAAGAATTTACGAGCTACTTTCAATTTCCATTTACCTAGGGTGAATAAGTTGTAGACAAATCTGAGGATTGGTCCAAAGTCGTCCCGAATCACACTGTCCAGAGAAGAGAAGGTTCTATCTGCAAATATTGCTTCAACATTAGGGTTATTTGAGAGGTGGCATGCTAAGGCACCCCCAAGTGATGTCCCATGCACTAATAATCTGGTCACGCCTTTTATGTTAACTAAATGCTGAACTAAATAGTCTGCATCTTCACAGAACTTGTCTGGAGAGATGGATCCAGTGGATCTTCCATATCCCCTATAGTTCCAAAGGAAGACATTGAAGCCATTTGAGAGGAAAAACTTGAAAAAAGTGTCGTCAAATAATCCTAAGTTTTCATAAAATACTCCATTAGGATTACAGACAAGGACAGCTGGGGAAGTGACATCACCCTCATTGAGTTCGCTTTTTACCCACATAGTGTCTAATTTAGCTCCATCAGGTGTACTGATAAATTCCTGTTGCCCCTTGTAAGTCATTTCTAAGTCTGTTCTGACTTGATCGAGGTGGCCATAAGACTGATTGCTCCAGTAGACATAAAAGCTTCTTCTGAATTTCTGGATAACAGATCATTCTCTCTTTAACCCCTGGCTGTTAAAACTGCTATTTTCGATACCCATCTTGATGGAGAGATCTCATCAGAATGAATCGAGGGTGCCAATTTTGGTACGTAAATTATCACTATAAGAGCACCCAATAAGATTTTCAAGTGGACTTTCTTCAGCATCCCAGATGCTAACATTAGTCATTGTTTTGCCTTGCTTAAGAAGCCTAACACTTGAAATATCTTTCTTCATCGCTTCAAGCTTCTGCTGGAACTCCTCTTGGTCTGAAGAAAGGGTCTTAAGGTTTCTTTGTCTTTCATTATTAGACACGATAGTCTCTATCATTTTTCGAATATCTGAGATGCTTTCCTTTAAGTCGATAGCGTTGTTATCATCCAGCTTCTCATTGGTACAAGTCTCTTCAAGAGTGTACTTGAGGTTACCCACAGTATTAAGGATAATTCTCGTCATATTTTCCCTGATATTGTACTCTACTGCCTTTCGGATGAAAATGTTGCTACCTGGGAAAACCAAGGATCTTATGATGTACCTCACTACAGAGATAATAGCTATTAAGTACACCGTGAACGCTCCATAAGCAGTGATAAAGGATGCAATAAAAGCAAAAATTGCATAGAGGAAGTACAGAATAGTCAAGACAAGAATAGCAGCGGCTATACCTGCCAGAATCCATATTTTATTACTCATTTTCTTAATATTATACATCGTGCTGCTTTCCTTCTTAACATGGGGTTTTGGGGTTTTGGGGTTTTGGGGTTTTGGGG